CACCATTACCATCATCACCATCACCATCATCACCATCACCATTGCCACCATCACAGTCATCATCACCATCCTTACCATCATCACTATCATCACCACCATCACCATCACCATCATCAACACCATCATCATCACCATCACCACCACCATCACCATCATTATAATCATCACCATCACCACCATTACCATCACCACCATCATCATCATCATTACCATCACCATTGCTACCATCACTGTCATCGTTGCCATCATCAACACCATCACCATCATTATAATCATCACCACCATCACCACCACCATCATCATCATCATCACTAACACATCATCATCTTCACTGTCCTTTATATCATCGCCATCACAAACTTTCTTTTTCCTTCTTGCTAATCCTTCCAAATTACTTCTGCTTTATTCGCACCTTCTTCCTTCCTCTCACTCCTCTTTTCATAATTATCTTCATCTTGAAATTGAATGACCAGGGACAGTGCTATCTGGAGTCATGGGTAGTTCTAGATCTTAGTAAGTAAGGAAGTAAAATCATGCTTATCATTTTTTTCAAATACCTTCCATTCTCAATTTTAAATCATGTCATATTGACAGAACTCATATCCCAATTTTGGGCTCAGAATTTGCTTCCTGTACTTACACTAAAAATGCTGATCACATCTTTTCTGCCATCATAAGGGAGGACTGTGGCCCCCACTACTTGACCACAGCTGATCGAGTCAGGAAGGGACACCTGACCCAGGCTGAATGTCTCTCTTAAGACTCAGGAATCCGGATCCCCGGAGTCCAGGTTAGTGACTTCAGGATGGGAAGAGCAGACTGCAGCAGAGAAAGCTGGTCTGTGAAGGGCAGAAACACGAGGCAGACTGGCTGACAGCAGAGATGTGGGGCCCAGTAAGAGAGAGAGGCTGGGGTCGTGGCACAGTGGGAAAGTGGCCATCTGCAAGCTGGGCAGAGAACTCTCAACCAGGGACTGAATCAGCCCGAGCCTTGATCTTGGACTTTTAGCCTCCAAAACTATAAGACATTGCTGTTGTTTCAGCCACCCAGTCTGCAGTATTTTGTTATGATGTCCCTCAAAGACTAATACACAGGACTTGGTAAACGTTTTCTGTAAAGGACAACATGGTAAATATTTTCGGCTTTATGAGTTATATGGTGTCTGTCACAACTACTCCACTCTTAGGTGGCAGTGTAAAAGCCACTCTAGATACACATAGATAAATGGCCATGGATGTACTTCAATAAAATTCTGTTTATGAAAATAGGCAGTGGGCTAGGTTTGGCCTCTGGATGACAGTTTGTGTGATGCCTGGCTTAAAATAACAATTTTTTTTCAGAAAATTGAAATTATGACAAGATATGATGGGGAACGCTTGTCTAAGCTCCATGCAGTTTTAGCTGGGTGTCCTGCCTGGGGTCTGGAGGGTCCACTTTCAAGATGGTATACTTTTATGGCTGTCAAATGGTGCTGGCTGCTGGCTGGGTGGCTGGCTGGGGCTGTCAGCTGGAGGACCTTGTTTCTCTCCTTGTTGGCATGTCCAGGTGCTGCTTAGGCTTCCTTACAGCATGGCAACTCGCTTCCAAGCTTGAGCACCCCAAGATCATGAGGCAGAAGCTGTGCTGCTCTTTATGAACTGGCCTTTGAAGTCACATGATGTGACTTTTGTGATCATTGCACACTGGCACAGATTCAGGGGAAGGGAATGCAGAGCCCTCCTCTCAACAGGAGGGTGCCAACCCCACACTGAAAGAAGATCAGGTGAAATGGGGGATCTTGTGGACATTTCACAGTGTTATAGTAAACACAGGCAAAGACAAGAAGGCAAGCACAGATAAGTCGATTGTGGCTCAGTTCTTTGAAGGAGACCAACAGGCTTTTGTAGGACGAAGGGGGAACTTTCTCTCTGCAGTAGAGTCAGGGAGCCTCTCTGGAGCTGAGACAGGAAAGATTTTGTGGTCTACTGTCATGGGAAGAGGCACCAGGCAAAAAAGCAAGGACCCATGCCTGGAGGCCAGAAAGGGTGCAGGTTGGAAGGCCAGGCAGACGTGGGCTTGAATCCTGTCCAGTCATTATTTTCCCTCTGGCAAGGCACTTTACCTTGGTGGGACTAAGTGAGTCTTTTAAAAAGGAGCGTGCAATTCTACATCACCCGAATCCATAAGATCACCAATGTGCTGTCTTAGCCTAATGTCTGGCTCACATATGGGTTACGGCTTTTTTATCTTTCTCCCTGGTTTTTGTTTTTAAATGGCTGGGTGGTACTATGTTTATAGGCTTGGAGAGTTTCCTCCAAAACGAAATCAATACTGCCAGCCCTACTTTGCAGGGGAATGATTTCCAAATTGCACAGAACAAATGCCCCTAATAGCTGCCTTTCAAAGACTACAGCCTGTCAGTGCTGCAGTGACGGACTACAGGAAATGAAAGAGGGTCAGTTGAAGTTGGGGACAGGGGCTTGGAACTGCAAAGGAGTGCACTGTACACTGGCCAAAGGTGGAAGGTGCTGACCATTAATTGCTTGGAAGTCATCACTGTGTTCCAGTAGGAGCTCAGTTGCTTGTGTGAAAGAAGGCTGCTGATTCAGCAGCAAAAGGGTTGGAAATAAAATGGAAGAAATGAAAAGTAGAGCATAGGAGTGGTGGCAATGTTTATTTCAACAGGCAGAGGGCTGGGCGTCTCCACGCAGGAATCCGTGACCCTCCTTGGGGGGCTGGCCTCCAGAAACAACATTACTTCTCACTTCCAGAACGTTTAATGCGTGCTGGGTGCCTAGCTTTTGAATTCCCACAGTAACCCTATGGGAACTATGTCATCTCCATTTTACAGATGAGAAAACGGAGCTCTAAGACATTAGGTGATCGCCCAAAGCCACACTGCTCCTGGGCCCGGGGCCAGGATTTGGACCTGAATCTCTTGAGGACAAGGGTGTAGTTCCTTTGGCCCACACACTTACAATAGGGAAATTTTCAGGGACATGAAACAGCGCAGAGATGCTCTTCATCCCCATTTAGATGAACAAGGTAAAATAAATGGAAAGAAAACCAGAAGTTTGAGGACACCAGTGTCGGCCAGGAAATAGAGAACCACCAACCCAGACACGCTGCAGGGTGAGAGGTCAATTGCTCCAGGTGTTTGGAAAGCGATTTGGCAGCTTCCAATAAAGTCCAAGATGTAGCTGGTCCTGTGATGCCACCGCACACATGTAGAGAATTTCCGCAGAGGGGCAGAGGGAGACAGTGCTAGAAAGCTCACTGAATCACTCTAACTGCACAAAACCAAACAACGTAAGCCCATTGCCCTCAATGTCCCTTGTTGACTGTGGGTGTATGAGGAGGTGACTGTCCTAGCCGCCGGTACTCTGGGGAGGGGGCTTCGGTGCCCAAGGCAAGAGGTTGAGGTTGAATTCCGGGACTCCAAGGAGGGGCTGATTTTCCTGAGAGCCGGATGAGCCAAGAGTGGGGACCATCGTGATTCTCTCCACAGGGGAAGAGCTGAGCAGGGCCTCTGGCTGATTGGATGCTCCGGAGCGCACCTCTTTACCAGTCCTAATCTCAGGCTCCAGGCCTGGCTTGCAGTTCCTGGCACACCGCGCTGCGAAGTCACCGGCCCACACTCCCAGCGCGGGGACCCTGTGCAGCCTCCCCACCCCCATCAGCACACAGCACCGGGCTGCTGCCATTTCCCCGCAAGCATTCCAGGAGGGCTGGGGCCACCAGCTTCTGCCTGATGATTTATGGTCCAGGAAATGCATTTTAAATGGGTCCCAGGATGCTCGGATCCAAGAACCAGACACCATCTCTTGGAGGGTGGCGGAGGGTGAGAGTGTGTGTGGAGACAGACCTAGAAACGCCCCGAATGGCGGTCCCACTCCCCCAAAGCGCGACCGTCCCTGAGTGTGTGTCGGGGGGCTACCTGTTGGCCAGGGCGCACGGAATTCGGGTGACTTTGCTCCAAGATACGTGCGCGTGTCCCGACTTTCACTTAATTTATAGGGGAGAAGGATTCGCCAAATCCCTGTTTTCTGGGGTGAGCCCCCTCCCCCCACCCTTGGACCCAAGCTGCCCGGAAGGAAGAAGGAAGGATTGTTTGTCACCGGAGAAAACCACCTGTGGTTTGCAAAGGGCCTCAGTCGAGTCAGGGGCAGGCGGGAGGGGCGACTCGCGGGGGCGAACAGGGGCAGGGCAGGGGCAGGGGCGCCCAGCTCGCGGGGCCTGCTCAGCCGGCCTCACCGCCAGGTTCCCTGCAGGGGGCCGAGGGCGCCCTGGGTGCTGGGAGCCTTCCCATTACGCAGTTCCTGTACCTTTAAATCCCAGTCCCGGAGTGGGCGGGGGCGCCCCGGCTGGACCCCGGATTCCAGGCCGGCGGGGGCCCCGGGAAAGCCCGGGGAGGGGAGCGCGGGGCGGGGGGCGCGGAGGGCGCGGAGGGCGGGGCGCCCAGGGTCCCCGCCCGCGCGTCCTGCCGCGGCCCTAGCCGGCTGGGCCGCGCCCCTCTCGGGGCCGCCGTGCTCCGGGGGCGGGCGGGGGCTGGGGCTGGGGCGGGGGCGCGCGGGCGGGCGAGGTGCGGGCGCGCGCCGCGCGGCCTGAGCGCGCGCCCGGG